CATTAGTTCTGCAGCATTCCAATATAAACCATAAACACTTTTCTCACATTTTTTTCTTTATGGTGGGGGTTGTGGTAAGCATATCCCAGTCTCAGGGAGTCTGCTAAGAGACAGGTTGAATTCCAGAAGTTCACGTATCAACTCTTTGTCTCACAGCTTATCTTTCCCTATAGAAACAATATTTAAACAACGTTTGGCTCATTCTAAATATATTTCAGAGCTATTTAGAGGATATGTTTTTTTTTTTAAGTTTTAAACAGAATCCACTTTCTGAGATCTTTTTAAGAATAAACCTATTGGGAATGTAAAATAGCGCAGCTGATTTGGAAAAATCAGTTTCAAAATGATTAAGCATGAAGATACCATACCACCCAGGATTTCCATCCCAGACATTCACTCAATAAAAATTTTAAAAAACTCTAAAATTTGTACATAATGTTTATAGCAGCATTATTCATTATATCCAGAAATAGAACCAATTCCAATGTCCATTGAAGGATGAATGGCTAAACAAAATCTGTTATATCTGTACAAGGGGTCATAATTTGGTAATAAAACGGAATGAAACATATGCTACAACTTGGAAGAACTTCAAAACATTACCCCACTTGATTGAAGCCAGTTACCAAAATCCACATATAATATTATTCCACTCATATGTAAGTCTGGACTGGAGAAATTTATGAAGACAGAACTATTAGTGATTTCTTACAGCAAAGGAGGAGGTGGGAGCAGGGGATGATAGCTGAAGAATACCCAGTTTTCTTTTAGGATAACATAAAGGTTCTAAAATTATGATGAGGAATATACATACTTATGAGTGTAGTAAAAAACAAATATTTGTATATTATAAATGGGTAAAGTATGTGGTATGTAAATTGTATCTCAATAAATACTCTTTTTAAAAAAAAATCTGCTTATTCTCTTAACCAAAGGACAGCCTGGTCATTAGCAGATTTCACTTATGACACCCCCCTTATCTTATTTAGATTTCAAAATCTTTTTAAATTTGTTCTAATTAGTTACACATGCTATCAAAATAAAAATCTTAGTTATAGCTGCATTAACTTTGTACTATATCTAAATCTCTTGATAATTGGTGCAGGTCAGTTACAACTCAACAAAAAATGAGTTAACTTTGTAACAGTCTCCATGATCTCTTTATATAAAGGTAGTGGTATTCTAGAGAAAACTGATTGGGTTATTATTTCTTTTCACTACAGACACTTTCTATATGGTCTGTAAAATTTCCTTTTATATATATATATATATATATATATACTGTCAGCATCAGTACTGAGAGAAATCTATAAAACCTTTTTAAAAAATATCAGGGAGTAAGTACAGTGATTTATTCTTTGATATGCTTCCAAAACACCAAGGAAATGCTAAAAAAATAAGTGAACTAGACTTTTCTAAATGAAGTTGAACCAAGAGAGTGATAACAAGACATCATCACAGTTGATTTTCAAATTAATACAGGTAGATCTAGCAGGGTGAGCATGCATGAACACATACACACACACACACACACAGACACAGTATATACATAATGCATCCCCAAACTGATACCCATTTTAGATCTGAACTTCTGACAAACTTGGAATTGTTAAGAGAAGCAATTTAACTCTGATGCTAAACTCCAGACCTGCTTATTAATCTTATGTATCATACTGTCCAGTCGAGTAAGACTGAAGGATGTCAGAATTAGTTAAGAAACAAGAGAACTGAGCTCTAGAATTCTATTTTGATGAAGATTCTTATAGCTGCAATGTAAATAAGTAGGAAATTCAAAGTCAGAAAATCTTAATCCTATACTACAGGAAATAGGATCAAGTTAAGATGAGGACTGATACCTAAGGAGATAGGAGAAATCAAATTTAAAAAAAAATCCATCTTGCTCTCCTTTCCACAGACTTGAAGGGCAAAAAGCAGAGAAGGAGGGAAGATATAGTTCTCTAATGCATAGATTTCCTGCCCCCTCACATTTGACATGTTTTTAAATGTATGTGTATAACATTTTCATGACCTAAGCCATTTTACTTCTTGACTGATTCTAGACCATCAGAAGTGTCTTAAAGAAAGCAATATGGCCAATGAGGAGCAAAGGCTCCTAAAACTATTAGCTGCTGAATGGCCTTTAATAATTATATCTAATGGGTTACATCAGTTGAGTCCAAAGCCCAGCCTGCAAGTCCTTATGCTAAATACTCTCCATCAATTATTTTACTATAGTCCAATGACAACTAAGATGTAGGCATTACTGTTATCTCTACTTTTCAGATTAGAAAATTGAGTGACTTGCTCAGTTGATAAATGGCAGAGTTAGAGCTTAAAGTCAGATTTGCCAGCCATTTAAGTACATGTTCTTGAAGTATCATCACTTTATACTACTTCTGCAAATTCCCCGAGTAACATAAATCGCCCTTTTCAGACTATCAATATAATCTATATTAAATATTATAATTAATAACATTTAACAAGTTCCTAGATACACAATATTAATTTCTAAACACTAGAAACAAGCAAAAAATAAAATTGTATTCATCATGCCATCACAAGAAAGAGAAATAAATTTAATAAAATATGTGAAAGACTCCTATATTAAACATTTTTAAAATATTGAGTTAAAGATTATCTAACCAAATGGTGAGATATACCATGTTCATAGATTAGAAGATTTACTATGAAGTCAGTTTAAATTTATCTACTATTTATTCAATACAATCTCAAGCAAGCCTCAGGTTGTTGTTCTTTATGCAAAATGAATGCTAATTTTATAATTTATAGGGAGAGAAAAGGGTCAAGAAAATCACAATGAACAACAAAGATGAAAGAATTATGGTACCAGCAAATAAGTATGTAGTAAAGTGATAGTGATTAATATAGTATAGTAAAGTAACTAATATAGTAAAACATTGGCACAAAGAGACACAGAGTTCAGAATATGAACCTAGGAAAAGACCAACACATATATGCTCACTCAGTTTATGTCAAAGATGAAACTTCAGTGTACTAAAGGGAAGAATTGTCTTTTCAAATGGGTCAATTGTACACACTTGAGGAAAAATAAATCTTATCCTTACACATGACATAGTACACAAAAGTCAATCCCCCCAAAATTGAAAATATAAACAAAAAGTTTTAAAATATCATGAATGAATGTCATAATCTTAGGCTAGGCAAAAATAAATTTTAACTGAACAGAAATAGCATGAATGCTAAAGGAAAGATATTAGTTAATTATATTAAAATTAAGAACTTCTGTTCCCAACAAGACACCGTTAAAAGTGCAAAAAGGAAGTGACTTTGCTCAGTAGCTACTAAAGCTGAACTTTGTGACCCATCAATTCTGCTTTAAGTTATCCACCTAACATGTCCACAGAAAGATGATGTGCAAGAGCATGAATGAATTTCACAAGCATAATAATAAAAGAGAGATGTCAGATATAGAGAGCACATACTCTATAAGTCTGTTTATATAAACTTCCTGAACAGTAAAACGAATTCTAATAATAGAAGTTAGGATAATAAATGGATTTTAGTGACTGCTTAGTGCCTGAGAAGAAAAATGGGGTTTTAGTAATGTTTTCTTTGTTATCAGATGCTAGTTTCAAGTATTTCCACTTGACAAAAATTCATCAAGGTGTACACTCTTATTATTCATGTCATTTTAAATGCATTTTCTATATGTCAATAAACAGATAAAATTTAATATATGATTCTTACGAATAAATTCCCATTTGTCTTGGAAAGATTAAGACTTTTGAGGGACAAATGTGTCATTGAATGTTGTGTTTCCAGCTACAGTATTGCACCCACTGAGTACATAAGTTAGTGAGTGGATTCATTGGTTACTTGGAATGAAATGGAATAGAATGTGCTATACTCCTCTTAGTGAAGCATTAACTTTGTTAGATTTGATTTGTTCTACTACATCTCTGAGGTCAGTGATTATTTGCCATTGTTGGGATCAAAATAGACAAGTCAGAAGACTCCTTCTCTATCTTACTGAGACACACTTGAACAATTCCCCTTTCTTCTTCTTTTTTAATGTTTATTTTTACTTGTAGTTGAACACATCTTTATGTGGTGCTGAGGATTGAACCCAGGGTCTCGCACGTGCGAGGCGAGCGCTCTACCACTGAGCCACAACCTCAGCCCTCAAATTCCCCCTTCTTATCAGCCCATCCTTTGAAGAATCTTAATCTCACCCTCACTGACTCTCTTAGGCTGCTGCATGATTCTTTCCCTTAATAAGAAATGGGGGGCGGGGGCGGGCTGGGGTTATGGCTCAGTGGTAGAGCATTTGCCTAGCATGTGTGAGACACTGGGCTCAATAAATGAATAAAATAAAGGTCTATTAACAACTAAAGAAAGTTTTTTTTTTTAAAAAAAGAAGAAGAAATAGGAGAGAAGAAAGATAAATTGGTAGAAAACACTTAGAAATCTGAGAGATGTCCTGGTCTTTCTTTCCTCTGGCCATCCATTTTCAAAATGGGCGGGGGTGGGTAGGTCACTTGGGAACAAACAGGAAGATACAATATTCAGAGCCATAGACCAAATTAATGGCATAACTCCGATCAAAACCCAATCCTTGAGATTGCTATTCTGTGCTCTTCCCACTGCACTGAGATTCTGGTTGGTCTTGTTAACAGTCGTTATTTGAAGTCTGTGACCTGCTGTGCTCTCCTTATTAAAATTCCACTTCTTAGCCTGCAACCCTGCAATCATCTTTAGAGTGAAAATCGTGCTTGGCCTGACCCACACTAGGCTTTTCCTGGTCACCTGCTAGATAATTCAATCAGCCATAATCAATTACTCCACATATTATCCAGGGTTACATGTTCTCAGACCATGTAAGGAAGAAATAATGGCAGCCTGAAATAAAATAAGATGGTCCTTGGGAGGAAAATCTGTGCCTGCATAGGCAGTCTCAGGCTGATATACTTAAATTCCCCAGGGCTTATTAAATCCCTGGATGAATGTAGTCTACTTACCATGGATGAAGAACTCAAAGTTGAAGAACTTGACCAAGGGCACTTTTTTTGGCTCCTACTTCAGTGGTTCATTTACTTGGAGCTGAAAAATCAAAGGAGACAAGTGATATTTCCATATTACTCCAACTTACATTTGTTTTCCATCAAATTTCCACTGTTCCCCTTAAATGGGTACATTTTATTTTTTGGCTCATTATTTATTATCATTTCATTTATTTAGAAATGGAAACTTCAAGCAGTTTGATTAAGAGATTAAATAACTGGACTTTTTCAAGCTAAAAATAAATCAGCAAATCTAGGTATGAGTTGCATTAGGTTTCAAAATACTTGGGTTTTGATCAAATCTCTAAACACATTATTGCAGATGATAGCCCCTTCTATTCAAATTTTAAACATGTGTGTAGTTAAAGGGAACTCCAATGTGAAGTTTTCAGAGTTACCATTAATGATACATGGACTTTCCAAAGAGCGTTTCTTTAAAAAGTAAAAGATACTTTTCTAAAATAGAAATAAATGAGTGAAGAAATTTGGATTTCAAAACATACAATCATTTAATCATTGTGCCCTATTAACCCCTCAAGAGCTATAGTACCAATTCAGTCAAATGCCCTTAATTTTTCCCAACAAAATTTTCTGAAGAAACTACTATTTGTTGACCACTTACATGGTGCTGTGGATTTTATGTCTGGTGCCTATTTACTTTTAAGGACAGCTCTTTGATGAAAGAATTATTAGTTGCTGAGAGGTTGAGTCACTTGCTCAATATTTCAAAGGAAAAAAAATATGGCAGAGATGGGATTTCACACCAGGTCCACTTGATGCTAAAGACTGAACTTTCAAAAGAATTGTCATGAAGTGTCTTTGAGCTGGCTTAAGGCAAGAGCTACAAAATAGATAGCATGAAAATATAAACTTCCATTACTTTATCTTAGTCTGTGGAAGAAAAAAAATAAGAGAGCAGAAAAAAGAAAAGGAAATAAAAACACCAGAAATGGAGCCCCCAAAGACAAAGTGAGCATCATCTTTCATCAGACCACAAAAGCATTTCTTCTAGCACCTAATGGGGGAAGGATCTCTGAAAGAGAAAGAAATGCTCATGGGTTAAAATGACTTTCAAGAAATGATTGAAGTAGACCAAAGACAATGCATCAGGAAAGGTTGAATCCTGATGAGTCATATAATTTTGCTTCAGTTCAGTTCAACTCCACACACATTTATTGACAACCAGGAGGCACTGGAAAAACCCATCCAAAAAATCATGATGAATAGACCACTGAATCAAGAAAAACAGCAATGACTAGAATCCTAAGCTTCTAAAGAGATGAAAGCATTTATGGAATTTCAAGGGTCACAAGCCAGGACAGAATCAGAAGTTACCATTGCCACCTCCATTTCTGAGATACAAAAATTGAGTTTCCGTGAAAGAAGAGGTCAACTCAGGGTCATGCAGCCCACTGGAAGCTAATGCTATCTTCTGGTCTTTTATTTCCCATTCTAAAACTTCTTTGTTAGACATATTTCACACAAGTGACACAAATGTAGCAAGCTGTGTGAATATAATAGATGATTTATTGTGCTGATCAATATTCATCATCGGATTCTGGTTTCTTGGAGACCTCTAAGGATGTTCGGGCCACACACACACCCCTTTATCTCCCAGTTTAAACAAGACCAATAGAAGACAGAATCTCAATTACCTTTCTTCCTCCAGGGGAGCCACTCTGGGGAAAGAAGATGCTGCAACATGAAGAGGGTTGAGTGGAAGGCTCAGAAGAGGTTTCCAGAAGAATATAATGACAACTCAGGGTTCTCTTGCTTGCATGATTGAATGCCAAGTTCTTTAATTGGTCAAGAAATTTCCAGGAAGCAAGAGAGCAAATACAGCTCCAGGCAAAGTAGCAGAACAGATTTCCATTTTTATGCCTGCTCTTTGGGGGCTTTGAAAAGAAAGCCATCAATTCCTGGAATTCTAATCCCATAGATGAGAGGTTTATGGGATAACCAAAAAAAAAAAATCTATATCTATATCTATGTGTATCTATATATCTCTATCTATCTATCATCATTAAGAGAGTGGATCTTACCTAAGATCACTTGAGAAATTTTTATTATATCTTCAGCCAATCACATCTGATAAATAAAATGTAGTTATAACAACAACTGATATTTATTAAGATGCTATTCTGCATCAGGTGTTAAAATGACAATGACAATAGTGACAAGACTTTACAGGTGTCTGTGAAAGTAGTTGTATAATGTTAGATGTTAATCAGAGAACATGAAATTTTTAGCTCTTAGTATCATTAGCCTGCAATACTTGATTTCATTTTGTTTTTGATTGACATGCAATCATTCCATTTATGGTATATAATATTTCAATACATGGGTGTAGCATGTACTGATCAAATCATAGTAATTAGCATTTTCATCTTATCATTTCTTCATGTTTAGAGCCTTCAAGCTCCTTTCTTCTAGTCCTTCATAAAACATGTTAATAAGTTATTGTGACACTGTGAAACATTATTTCCTACTCCTTCTATTTAACTATGTATTGGTACATGTTACCCAATCTCCCTCTACATCCTCCCAATCCTTCTCAACCTCTCAACTACTATTATATATCCACATAAACTTGTTTCAACTTCCATTTATGAGAGAGCATGGGGAATTGGCTTTCTGTGATTGACTTATTTCATAAGTCAATGTTAACACTATCCTCTAGGTCATCGTTTTTGCTACAAATGATAGGATTTCATTCTTTGTTATGGCTGAATAATATTCCATTGTGCATATGTACTACATGTTCTTTATCCATTCACCCCTTGACAGGCACCTGTGTTGAGTCCATATTCTGGCTTTTGTGACTAGTGCAATAATAAATACGAGAGTTCAGACATCTCTATGTTATGCTAATTTTATTTCTTTAGAGATATACCAGGAAGCAGGCTCACATGTTAGATCTATTTTGAGAGAAACCTCAACCATAAAGACTCTTTTAATTTACATTTCTTCCAACAGTGTATAACAGTTCTCTTTTCTCTACATCTTCCCCAGAATTTGTTATTGTCTTTTCAGTAATAGCCATTCTAACCAGAATGAGATGGCATCTCATTGTGGCTTGATTTGCATTTCCCTGCTGACTAATGATATTGAGCATTTTTCAAATAGTTTTTAGCCATTTGTATTTCTTCTTAGAAATGTATGTTCACATCATTTGTCCATTTTAATTGGGTTATTTTGGGGGTATCTTGCTGTTACTATTGAATTTTTTGAGTTTGTTATTTTGGATATTAATCCTTTGTCAAATGAATAGTTTGCAATTTTTTATTTCCATTCTCTTCACTCTGTGATTGTTTCCTTTACTGTGCAGAAGTTTTTCAGTTTAATGTACCTTTGTCTATTTTTACTTTCGTTACCTATCTTTTAGGATCTTATCCAAAAAAATCTTTGTATATACTAATATTCTGAAGTGTTTTCTGTATATTTTCCATTTGTAGTTTCATAGTTTTCAAGTCTTATATTTAGGTCTTTGATCCATTTTGAGTTGATTTTTGTGTAGGGTGAGACACAGAGGTCATGTTTCAATCTTCTACATATAGATATCCTGTTTTCCTAGCCACATCCATTAAAGAGGCTATTGTTTTTCCCAATTTTTGTTTTTGGTGCCTTTGACAAGATACAGATGGTTGTAAATGCATTGGTTTATTTCTGTTTTATTCTATTAGTCTTCATGTCTTTTTTTTAATGCCAGTACTATGCACTTTTATCTGCTACATTTCTGTAGCATGTCTTGAAATTAGGTAATGCAATGTCTCTAACTTTGTTCTGTTTGTTCAGGATTGCTTTGGCTGCTTGGGGTCTTTTAATTCATATAAATTATATAGGATTACCTTTTCTAGTTCTGTGAAGAATGTCATTGGTATTTGATGGGGATTGCCTTGAAACTGTACATCACTTTGGGGACTATGAACATTTTAACAATATTATTTCTTCCAATGCATAAAAGTCTTTCCATCTTTGGGTATGGTTTTTAAGTTGTTTTCATCAGGGTTTTGTAATTCCATTGTAGAGGTCTTTCACTTTCTTGGTCAAATTTATTTCTAGGTATTTTATTTTCTTGCAGCTGTTATGAATTGGATTGCTTTTATAATTTCTTTCTCAATAAGTTCATGACTGGTGTATTTTAAGTACTACTGATTTTTGTATGTTTATTTTGTATCCTGCAACTTGAATGAATTTGAGTATCATTTCTCATAGTTATTTTTGGCAGAATCTTTAAGTCTTTGCATATATAAGACTTTTATCATCAGTATACAGTGATAATTTGATTTCCCCCCCTCCACTTTGTATACATTTTATTTCTTTCTCAGACGTGTGTTTATAAGAAGAATTCATAATGCTATATACCCGTGACTCTGGGTAAAGACTGATTTTAAAGGGTGAGCTTGTTTCCCTCCTGCATCTTGAACCATAAAATTCAGCAGTTGGGCGTAGGATATGCCAAAGACATGAAAAGAATTGGAAAGTGGAGACCAGTCATTAATTAAAGCAGTTTCCTCAGCAAGGAATCAAAAGGAACCAGAAAATAGGTGCAAAACTGTTGCTTTAAAATAACTATAACATTTATTTGGCCACAAAGATACTTCTGGACCAATTAATCAATTCCCCTACCCTTTTCTATTCTGAAGAGTCTTACTTCACCTAAAGTAATTGCCTCCCAAGGATGCAAAACATCAGGATGGCAAAAATCGCTTCTTGAAAGCAGAGACTAAGGCTTTCTTTCAGATGTTCCTGAAGATGGATGAGAAAGAAGAAGCTGAAACATAATTTTACTCTTGATCAGCCACAAAATTCTCAGCCAAATAAATGACCAAGGAAAATCAGACCAGAGCCAGGACATCAAGTGCACCATTATTTCTCATCTCTTCCATTACCTTCAATTTTTTCCCTCTTGCTGGATAGCAGTGAACTTGCCCGAACAAAAATGGTCTTAGCAGCAGAACTTCACTGGGTCAAAAGGACTGAGCTGGTCATAAAGGGACGCAAAAGGAACAAATCAGAACATCAGACCACATAAAATGGCCTGCCACTTACCTGACATTTCCTATCTTCTGTTAGGCTCTGTGTTAGTGCTCAATAGAAAATCGCCATCTCAGCCAAGGCTGTGACCAGGAAAGGAACTTCCATTTTGAAACTTTTTTTTTTTTTTCCTGAAGAAGTAGCTAAAATAAATTAACAATATTCCAGTGAGGTTTGGAGACTTCAGGTGGATTTCATGGGTGAGACTCCTCTGTTCTGTAGAAGTAAATCTGAGAAGCCATTTTGGGCACAATTTTGGATCCAGGTTTCTATGAGATTAGGGTAGTTCCTACATATTCCATTTGTTACCATGTGGGAAATGTAGAAAAGACGCCTATGTATCTTAATGCAATTTGCTTTATAGTCCAGTTTTTTTAAAAAAATGAACCATT